TAAAATATTTGTTTCTTCTGTCCTTTCAGCCTTTTCGAGGTGACTAATTACCACCCCTCACAATATGCTCAGAGCTCTCTCTCCTTCAGGTATGAAATCTGGATTCACGTATCTCTGTGTTCTTTTATATTCAAAGTATAACTGCCTGTATCTAGAATCTTATTGGCTAATTTTATTTATACAGCTGAGGTTTACTTTATCTTTTGTTAATTTCTGAGTTTGTATAAATCTTAATAGACCTTCCCAATCGTTATTGAAACATATTTTTAGAGTTCAGAAAGAGTACTCATTTTCTTCTCTAAATTACCACCTTCCCCCATCTCAATTAGAAACTGGAAGGCTGGAGTATGAACTGGATCAGCCCCAGAATCTCAATGATAATTTCTAACACTTGTCCATGATATTCAATAATTGTTACTTTTTCACCTCAAGAATTCTTTATAACAATTTGCCTGTAATCAAAATTTGCAGAGGTATGAACAGAGATACTGCTACTATGAGAGATATAGGGCTATAATCTATAACTAACCAGATAAGAAAGTTTCAAGAATCTGATTCCTACGTACACAGCGATGTAAAGAACCATATTACTAGATCTTCCCTTAATTCAGCTCTTGTGGAAGACGGTCACTGAAAAGACAGGAAAACGGCAATTTTTAAGGGCTTCCCTTGGCTCCAAGATTCTGATGGTGAAAAAATGAGGAATGCTGTGAGCTCTGGGGCATATCTTCTTAGTAAATGATATCCTACAACAAAAAATATTTCCACTGACTCAACGTCTCCTGTGAGATTTCACTTCAAAAGTTGATTTTATTTTGAAAAGCTAGCATGAAATCACCAAAGAGATTATTTCTAAAGCAGATCTTTCAGACATAGCCTTAAAAGTAAATGACCAACAATCATTTATTTCTATGTCCTCTCACAATTAATAGGGAATACAGTTCTCAATTTCATCTTAAGTTGTCACAAAACAAAGATTTCATTTTGAAAAAACTTTGATCTCATCTAAATGTGCAACTAAGACTATGCAATGAAACTTTATGAAAAAAACTGCTCTGTAAGAGGCACCTTGCTTGTTCCTTCTGTCAATTAATCTATTAATATTTAAAGTTACTTTCAGGTTAGTTGTTTTGTTTAGTTGGGCTTGTTTCTTAAAATTTGAAAAGGACCAAATAATCCATTACAGTCTGCCTACATACATGTTTCATAAAATCACACCATCTAAAATAGAGCATAATTCTAAGACCCCAATTAACAAATAAATAGAAACTTTGTGTTCTGTATTTAGAAGACATTTAATGGCATTTTTGTGTTTCTTTCTCAAAGTTTTCCAAAGCCTCTTATTCTAAGAATTAATTTCCTTTCCCTAATCTAAAGGCCATCTTTACAGATAAGTGTAAACCTTAGGAGTTAGATTTCTCTAAAATGATAATCTATGACTTAAAACACCCTAGATTCAGTTGTTTCAACAGTAGCAACTGTAATTATACCCCAGTCCTAATGCTGCTTTACTGATTTAAGCTTTTCAAGAAACAACACAGTGACAATTTGTTCACTGAAAAGAAGTCAAGAAAAGTAAGATTACACTCAAATGAGCACAGACTCATGTTCATCAAAATGCTCTGGAAGCTGTGAATGTTTTCTGAAATGCTAAATATTTCACAAAGACACACTTCTCTCAGTGGCTTCTCATTCTAGGAACTGGGTGTGCGCATTTCCACAATGTCTTTGCACCCTCTTATGGTCATTTCAGGATTTGCTTTATTGGGAGCAACTTATTGAAGGCTATTCAAAGGTTTCTTCATCTTGTAAATTGGAATTTTTATTAGAATAATGACATTTACACATTTTACACCTTTAAACCTATAATTTCATAATCCCAAATATTAATTGAAGCTCACACTTTTGAGAAAACAGAAGTATATAGAGTTGAGGTTACTAGGATAATAATTAGGAAACACTTCATACTTTCCAGTTATGTCTGACATATTAACAAGCTAATAAGAATTTAAGATTCTGCCTCCTAGGCACAAAGCAATAAAATAGTAAGGCCATCATTAGATATCACACTTCTTATACTCTGATACTGACATGATGAAATCAACTTAGAATCTGCTTAGACCTGTTTATACAAAGCATGGATAGGACTTCTAACTTACTTCAGTATCCTAAAAGAGAACAGCACAAATGTGACTGTCTTTCATTAAGAAGTAGCGATAACAAGATTAAACATACTTTATAGCTCAATTGACTTGTATTGTCTTGAAAACATTAAATTCCTTTAACTTACCAATCTTTGAAAAAAAAATAAAGATCAATTGGTACCTTTCTATTATATTTAACTTGATAACCATAATAAAAATAAATACTGCTTGTTCCTTTCCTGACTTAAAATTTCCTTCTTTCTATAAGTTACAGTTTCATGTCTAGAAAACATTTAGAAAAAATGTGACAAGTTTTAATGGCAAGCTTTATTTCTGAGTTCATGCCTCTGCCAGTGATAAGAATACTTGCCTTGTGGTTAAAACAAAACAAAACAAAACAAAACAAAACAAAACAAAACAAAAATACCAACCTTAAAACTATACAAATGGCAGAGGAACTACTTCTTAAGTGTTTATGAGAAGAATTGCTGCATTGCCATATATTTTTTCTCTCCAGGGTGACGGCTATACATTTTAAGATATTTTCAACTTGAAGAGAAGTATAATCTGAGCACTCTGGATTTTAAATTCTTGACTTATATTACATTCATACTTGGTCAGAAAAGTATGTCAGAACCTATACAAATATCTATAAATCAGTAACTTAGGTTTCCAAATACAACTACTGTTATTAAGGACACAAAAGAGTACTAACCAAAAGTGAAAGAAATTCCATATCTGAATAACATTTGAGGAGACAGAAAATACAATTTCACCAAGATGAAGTCAGATAGCATACAGGACAATGCTCCAGATATTTAAAGCTTCTATCAGATAATTCCCAAATTACAAATGAAATTTAAAAATAAAATTTGGGGTGGTCTATCTGAAAAAAACTGTAATTATCTCTCGCAGTAAATAACAGCACTTAAAAGATCACCAATGCTGGCAAGGTATCAATCTGTGGGTTTCCTATGTGTAATTCAGTGTATCAGATGTGCTGACAGCAAATATATACTTTAGAACATCAAGGTTATTGCCAGTTGTAAAAATTTTCTTTATCTACCATCTACTTTCCAAGAATCTAAAAACCCACAAGTCATCTCTCTTAAAATGCACCCATGAAAGTTGTCTAAAACACATTGTTAATATGTCATGAACACTGAAAACTATGATATGATACTGCCAAGCAAACACTACACATACCTCCTCTTGAATGCACTCTTTCACAATAACCATCACTGACAATTGGAATCTACTTTATTTCTATCTTTCTAAAAAACTCAATATGCTTTGTTAATGGGCATTGCAAATACTTACGTTCAAATGCATCCTATCCTACAAAACTCTGATAATTTAATTGTATTTTTAAAGACATAAAACAATTAAATTCACCAGTATAAGCAACCAGGAACTGACTTGATTCATCTTTACATCCATGAGAATCTGAAAACTAGTAGGTGCTGAAGCAACAGGATGCTTTTGGAATCCAAAACATCATTATGGAAGCCTGTGTTTCAATCCTAGGCTCAATCTCTTAATTTTGTTGTTTCCTTACGTGTAAATGTAAATTATATGTAGAACGCCTTGCAGGATTGTTGGGAAACTGAAAGGTACCTACAGAGTGACAAACCCAGAAAGATACCTAAAGACTAACCCAGTGCTTGGCATGTAGAAGGCACTGTTACGTGCTCAATATACGTTAGTTAAATTGATCATTCACTACAGCTCTTTCCTCTTGTACGTTTACTCAAAATATTTCCAGATTTAATCCACTACCTTGATCCTTTTCACTTTTTCTTATAAACCATAACTTAAACATAACCATAGGTATAAAAATCAAGAATTTTACTGTGTATTCAGGCAATTTAGGCATTTAACAGCAGTAAGTTCAATGTTTTTTTCAGAAATAAAATATTCTAAGAAATAGGAACTAAAGTGGAGAGCATTCAATTTTATTGTCTCTTCTATTTCTTACCAGAAGAGAAAAAAAAATGCTTCAATATTTATAAGACCAAGAATAATGAATGTGCATAATTTTGCCTTAACATACATTTCTGTCTTTTTAGACCAGTGTAAACTTAATGAAAGGCCTAGAATATAGACTTAATTACGCAGGAAAAAAAAAAAAAAGATCTTTTAACTGCATTGCACATTCAATAGACAAAAATCCAAAGATAGCAGTCCTGCCTGAAACGTTTACAAATCAATTCATTATATGGATTTGGAATGAGTTGTGCTGTAATTTAAAACATAGATTATCACAGGCCAAACTTGATAAAGTTCTATTTTTAAGGCATTTTCACTTGGCTGTGCACTTGACCTGAGAATTTTCATGAAACCACAATTTGCCTAACCTTAAAAAAAAGCTATCGTATGTAAATACTAGCTTTTAAAGGGGTAATGATTAAGAATTTAATCATAACAAAATGTCTAGAGTACAAAAATTGTATGTTTGAATTAACTAATAACTTCAATAAATTACTAGTATTTTATTGAGAATAGGTAATGCGCTTCCATTTCAAATTGATTTAGCCCACATATCATGTATAGAATGTTTCCATCTCATTTCCTAATTCTAAGGTAGTGCTGGAAGGAAATTTTAAGTTTGATTCGATTTTGTTTTTTTCATGGAAAAAGCGGCTCCTGGGGAAACCAGTGATTATGCCCAAGAACCCTTCTGTCCTGCTCAGGTCTCCTGATGACTTACTGTTTATCTTAACGAAAGTTAAATATTTTGTTATTTTTTCCCCTTATCAGCCTTAAAATACAGTCTTAAAGTATCAGTCTTAAAATATACACAGGGTATAGCTCAAAAAGCACTGAAACTTAAGGTTTAGAAAGACCCGTCTAATTTTAATTACCCATCAAGCAAATGGGAGCATGAAGTCAACTATTCAGTTAATTAAGTGGCTAAAATAAGTGCTTTTTGGAAGGGGATAGAACATTTGTTAAAATCATCTGTTTCAAAATAAAACACAGGACCTAGTAAATTTCTCTCTCTCTCTCTCTCTCTCTCACACACACACACACACACACACACACACATACACATGCCCCTGTTTAAAAAAAAAAATGCTGGAGTCTAAGAGAACATAAGTAAATAAAACAATAATTTGCAACTGAGTCATTCCTGAAGCAAGAACCAATGTAACAAGGTCTTTGCATACAATTAAATCTGTTTCAATGAAACTTTTCTTGGGCCTCAATTTCTTCACCTGAGCAATGACCCCATTCAACAACATGATTTCTCAATGCTATTCTAATTTTAAGTACTTTAAGTTCTTAATAAATTAAATTAGATTAATAACAGAAATCAACTAAACTGCTGTTAGCTAATGTCTAAGCGACACATGGGCATTTAAACATATGAATGTTTAAATAAGCAATATGTAAGTTGTTCAAACACCTTGATCTATTAAAATCCAAGAAACAGTAAACAGCTTTTGATATATCATCCTCAAAAGCCTTTATTGTTTCTAGCAAAATGACACAAAACCTGTGAAGAAACTAAACATAATACTTCAATGAAAACAAGTTATTTTATTTTCCAGGTTCCTTTTCTTTAAAATGAAAGAAGAAAAATACAACACAATTATGGTCTATGAAACAAACCATAACTAAAGAGGATATTTTAAATTACTTCCACAAATGCCCAGAGCAATTTGAGCTTTCTATAATTTGTTACCCTGTTGAACCAGAGTACTTTAGCTGTATAAAAGCTTTCTTGAAGTTTGCCACAAATTTTCAAAAATTATCTTTTCCTCAACAGAAATAAGCAATGTTACTGTGACATTTTTCCTGAAAATTTTAACAGGATTCAAACTACCTAAACTTCCCATTCTAAGTATTCTGTTTTTTGGTTCTTGTTCTTTTTCTTGTTTCTATAAACGAAATTCAAGGAAAAAAAAAGCTGGCTTTTCTTACTGATTCGGTCCCACAATAAAACAAAATTCAGCCTCTAAACAATTATTTTCAAACATATTCATCTTACAATTTTTAACTGATTTCTAAAGTAATTCCTGAAATAAAAGTGGCTATAAATGTAGGTCTCTAAAGATTTCTTACTAATTGTATTACTCATGCAGATTTGAAAGATACATTCCTTTCTGAGCTGATCATCTACCAAAAGTCACAACCTTTGCTAGTGCTGCCACCTGCTGTTGACTCTAAATCATTTTCCAGCATATCTAAATTGAAATAAAAATAAATAGAATAGCATGGACAAATTGGTCTGGAAAAAAAGCATCAAAACAGATTTTAAAGACAATCTGTGTGAACACCACTAATGAAGTTTTTTTTTCTGACAACTAAGTTACATTTACACTGTAAAAAGTCTCTTACAATAAAAGAGGAGCATAAGACATGACTGAAAAGGACCTTGAGCCTTTTTGGTTAGACACATCTGATTAAAGAATATTTATTTTTAAAATTTTTTATTGAAGTATAGTTGAAATACATTAATCAACTACATTATAGCTGAAATACATTAACTACATTAAGTTAGTTTCAGGTGTACAGCATAGTGATTTCAACATTTATATGCATTACAAACTGATCACTGTGTTAAGTCTAGTACACATCTATCAGATTGAAGCATATTTTTTACAAGAGCATTAATTATGTGACAAAAGAGAGGAAAAGGAGTACCAAAAAAGTGAAAGCAATAAGAGGAATTAAGTGATTTCCTTTTGAGAAAAATATGTCTAATAAATAAAGGAAGAAATAAGCATACATGTACAAAGATAAAAGCAAATGTGGCAAAAATTGGTGAATCCAGTTGAAGGATATATAGAATATCACTTTTCTACTTTTCTTAGATTTACAAAGAAACCTAAATTTCTAATAAATGGACATTCTAAATTTTGCTTTTCTGAATAAAAAGTTGGAGAAGAAAATACAATACATTGATATTTTTAATCTGTTTTACCAGTGCAGTTAAACTTCAATGAATTTAACAGAACACTCAACTTACAGTAGACAAACTTAATACGGATTTTAAAGTCTGAGAAAAGCGGAAATACTTTTTAAAAATAATACTGAGGCTTTTTGGTTTTTTTCCCTCATTCTAGAGTAAGATGATGTACAGCAACCTTGGTCCTGTGGGAGACGGCTAGCCGTGCGGCTACAGCAGTGACCTAACACTGCCTCTTGGGTAAAACAGGAACAAAGTGTGTAAAAGAACATGAGTATATCCAATACTTTTTTCTTTTACAATTTATCAGCTTCAAAACTGTCCTGTTAGTTGATTTTAAAGCTTCATCACTGTGCTTCCATTTTCCTTTTCTATCAAAAATTTAAAAACCAAAATGAGAATTTCTTTAAAACATAGGCGTGAAGATTTTATTATCAAAAATAAGGAAAATTCATTTTAAAGCTGCTTATTTTTTTTACTAAGAAATCTAACATTTGAATAATAGGCAGCTTTGGGGTCGTCTGTTGGACTCTCTCTCTGCGGATTTCCCCATCCACTTCCCTCATCCACAGAGATTTAAAATCCTTAGCCCTAGACAGGCATAGCCCACAGGACAGTGTTTCTTTCTTCTGGAAGTTAAGAACTGAGATTCAGAAAGATAGTTCAGTCTGTGATGTTCTCTGAAGTGGCAACATGTAAATTTAACAGCTATGGGGCTGCCACTGAGCACAAAATGATTCTGTTTCTTGAAGCCAAAAGCCTTGAGTTCAACAAGTTGTTGGCACAGAAAATTCACAGACATTTTTGTTTGTTTGTTTGAAAGTTGCTTTAACAGTAGATCTTATCAAAGACATTTCTGTTATAACAACTACAACAAAAAAAATTAGAACCCAGCCAAAAATTCTAAAAACCGAAAGATGTAGATAATTGCCCACGAAATACAAATTTAAAGATAAGCACCCACTATAGAAAACTGCAATATTTATCTTGAGCAAAGTCCATACTGAGGAACTACAATGGTTCCTATTGTATTATTTATTCAAAATATTCACTCTTCTTTGTAAGTTCCCTCTCTAGTGACTCTATCTATGTAAGAAATGTAATTCCTGCCATCACAGTTTCAAGCTTGGCCATGTGACTTGCTTTGGCCAATGCAAAGTAAGCCCAAGGAACCTGTGCCATTGCTAAGCAGAAACTTTAATGCCATCTTGCAGTTCCACCAAGCTTTTTTTTCCTCTCTAATCACAGAGGAAAAAACAATGTGAGGCTGTATTACAATAATGTAAGGACGTGTTTGTTACATGTCAACCTGCAACAGACATATAACATGAAGAAGAAATAAACCTATTTTAAGTCACTGAAGTTTAGGAGTTGATTGGTACCACAGTATAACCCGGAAAAGCTGCTGGTGTACGTCTCAAACAGATTTTCATTATAAATAAAGGCAATGAGTAAGAAAGTAAATGTTTAATTCCGAAGTTCATTTAAATATTGCTAAAAGCTTGTATTTGAAATAAGTCATTTTAGATTTTAAGTTTTCACAGTGTTGATGATTTTTAAGGCCCTTTATGCAAAATACCTATCAAAGAAAATATTTACTTCATTCATGTTTCTAAAAATTGTCAACAGATTTATCAAAAAGATACATATCTTCTTAAAATATATTTCAGAAATATTCTAATCTTAGTATACATACTTAACTAAAAACTAAATATCATAAGACTTTTCAAAACAGTAATATCACTTGAGAAAAACTCATTAACAAATTTTATATTCTTCTTCTATAATTATGAAAACTTGATTCCAAGGATTCTGATTCTTCCAAACAGTACAAACCAAAAACAATTATTAACACCACTCTTATTTTCTTCATCATTCTATAACACCAATGGCCTTGAGTCTTATATGATCCGAATATTAATTCTGCTTTAAGTATCTTTTTCTGAAAAAAATGCACCTTATTTAACAAAGTTGTGATAACTGGAAATAGTTAATAAGTATAACGTTGTAAATGAAGCTAATTCTATACATTCTGTCACTAAGATGAGCTGTGTGACCTTAGGGAAGTCAGTCAACCTCTGTAAGCCAGTAGAAAGGCTTAGAAAAATGAGGAGAACAATCTCTGCCAACTGCATAGAGTAGGAACCAAATTATTCTATAACTCCTTGATTAACCTAAAGGAAAGGCCACATGATCACAATAAAAGAAGCAGAATAGATAGTTACATACAGTGTCCATAAGCCTTAGCATGAAGATTAAGTTGTTGAAGAATCAAGTAGTGTTGGAGACTCCTTCTACTTCTCCACTAACTCCACCATTTAATAATAAACTGTATGAGAGAATTTTCTCGTACAATTCACATTTTAATTCTAGGTTTAATTAATTTGATAAACACTCTCCATTTCAAGAACAGAAATACTTTAATGTCCTTAACAAAAAAAAAAAGAGATAAAGAAATAACCCCAATGTGTTTTAAATTACATATGCCAGTATTTCTTAAGCTTTTCACTTTTATGAGGAAGTTACTATTAATCAATCCATTATTCAGATATGATAACTGAGACACAGATTAAATAGCCCAAAGTCTCAGCTAATAAGCAACAGAGTAAGATTTTGAACTCAAGCAGGCAGTATTATCTTCCACTTCAACCAAATATTATCTTACCTATACAAGTGAAGCAAAAAGAATTTAGGAAAGAAATGAAATGTATTAGTGGCAAGAAAATAATAAACTATTATTTCATTAGTACACATCAAGAATGTCTTTTAAATAATCCCATTCACTTGAATTATTGAAGTTTCATACTGGCAGAAATCATGTGATCCAACAATTAATATAACTGTTGTTCACCTAAATCCATTACTTCCATTGCTACAATTTCTTTCTTTCATTGTTATTGATGAACCAACTTTGAAAAAAACATTTTTATTTCATTAATGGGGCTGAGAAATTTTAATTTGTGAACTAGACTGCGTCTTTAGCATCTTTAAAGATGGAAAAGCTAAGACCAAGACCAAAATGTATAGTAGCTATAAATACTAAAAATAACATCTATTACATCTAGAACAGATCTTTGATACAGCACAGTCTTCCACAAGAATACACCCCAAATTGTATATATAGCAATACATATTGCATCTTTTTAAGAATGAATATGTAAAGATGACAAAAGTAAAAGGTCCCATGGAATGACCTGTGTAAATGTGTAATAACTCTGCAAACACCAGTGAAAGCAACACACCTTACATTGAGATTTGAATGCTAACGACAATTTCTTGCAAGCTATTATTTGTATACAGAAGAAATACAATTTAAACAGAAAAATTTGAACTTGTGATTTGAGAAATCACTCACTAGCTGGAAAAAAAATTTTTTTCCAAATTTAGATTATATTCAAAACCTTCAAGAAAGAGTCACAAGATTCAGTTTAACCTAAATGACTTATATTTGACATATTCAAATAACTCAGAGCTTTTAAATGTAAAGGAATAAAAAAGAAAATACCCTATCCCCAGTATCAGAGAAAGGTGACAAAAATCCATTACTTTCAGGAGAAAAGAGTCAACCATTTCCAAGGAGACTATTTGACTCTTTAGAAGAAGTAATTTGCCTAAAATGAGCCAGGATTTTTATGACTCGTCCTTTATGAAAAAGTAGATCTTATGCATTTTACTCTAATTTTTCAAATGAGAAAATTCAGACAGATTAAATATAAAAGAAAAGCAAATATATTTTTACATTTAAATTTTCTCAAAGACAATTTATCAACAGAATAGGAATCTGGTTTTATCAATGTGTTAGAAAAATGATTACTCAAAATAACTTTCTTTAGTACTGTACACTTCATAAAACAAACAACGACTGGAAAATTATTACATTTTAGCTTTTAAGAAGGCTGGTCAGGACCATAAACCTTTTTTTTTCCCAGAATACATCTGTTGCTTTTCTAACAGTTATCAATAAGCCCAAGAGGGCATCTACATACATTTCCAAGTTTCAATAATAGTCAAAGTATTAAATAACTAATCCAGTATAATGCACTGGTCCAAAATAGAGTCTTTGGCCAATATACCTCTTCAAAGAGATACTGTAATTGCTTCACTCTACTTCAATGAACCATCTATAATGAAAGTTGCTTTCTGGGCTTAACCTAGAGCTGTGCCCTGTGGGAAATGATGGGTCTTTGTAAAATGTGTTACAGTTTGCTAATAAGGATTCAGAAGAAGCACAACTGATGAACCAGCAAATCTGCTCTGACTTATTTAGTCTTTGCTGAATGAATTTGAATATCATCAAAATACATTATCCTTATCCATAACCTGCTTTCTATGATTCTCTCAATCCCCGTACTAATTTCAAAAGGAACTTTGAGCACTTCAGTATCTTACATACCTGTGCTAGTTCCATGGTATTACATAAAACAGAATCTTTTTTTTTTGAAAAGGACAAAAACAAAGATTTCAATAGAAAAAAGTTACCAGGTGACTATTTAGGACCTGAAGAAAAACAGAGAGCATTTACATAGCAATATTTATATTTGATACTGATACATAATAAACAGAATTTCTCTCCCAAAACAATGCAAAATACCTTCCCTAAATATTTACCAACTGACCATCAAGAAACAATAGAAGTAGATTAAAATTCTCCTTTTACCAGTAACAGACTGTTTTATCTTGAACACATCCGTTAATTCATCCCTCCCTCCCTCCCTCTCTCCTGCTCTCTCTCTCTTTTTTCCTTTCTTCTTTCCTGGTTCATTCATGAGTTCATGTAACTTCTACTGAGGGCATAACACATGCCAGGCATTATGGTTGCCTCTAATGATGCACTATGAAGTAGCTGCTCCCCAAAGGAGCTCCTAATATTTTGAATGTTAGAAAAAAAGAAATATCTACACTGTAAAATACAATGAAAAAGATGTATTTAGAGTGCTCTGGAAGCAGACAAGGGGATACAATTTGCTTGCCATGAGATGGTGACAAATGAACTTAGTTTTGAAAATACAGTTAAGAATTACTCAAGAAAAGGCTGTGTGAGCAAGGAGGTAAAGTGAGGCAGGTATTTCTAACAGAAGAAATAGAAGGATCTGACATGCCACAGTCTCTGTAATTATTTACTTATGGGTCTAGGGTAGGTAGAAAATAGGGGAGTAGGGGAATTCTCCAAAGTTGGAAACAAAAGACAAATATAAGAATACAGGAAGAAAAAATGAGAACTTCTTTTACAATTATTCGTACCACCTCCATTTTTCAAAATTCTGTTTTTCTACATATTATATACTGTATACAATATTTTAGAATTGTAAACCTTGCACATGTGCATAATTTGTAAATAAATATATACTAGATATAAGTCCTTGAAAAAATGTAATTAATGATACCACAATTAAATAAAAAGAAAGAACCTCATATTCTATATTGTCCTAAAGGTGATGCACAGTAATAAACTACTTTAAGCAAATAAAGAACAACCAGACTTTAAAAGACCACTCCTTCAGCTGTATTCTAGGAGGTAAATTAGAAGAAGAGATCTGAGACAACAAAAGCAGTTGTGAAGCCTCTGTAGCAATCCCAGTGAGATCTTAAACAATGATGGCAGCACAGCGGGAATGCCAAGGAGGAGGCAGAGGCTGCTTATAAGAAAAAAAGGAAAAACTGTAAGTTGGATTGACTTACATCATCCACTACATTTTGGTGCTACACAATTCTACAAAGATAATTTATACATTCTTCCAAAAGCAGGCTTACAAATCAAGTTATAATGTACTGTTATCCTACTTGAGGTCATCAAAACTCAGAGATGAGATTATATTCTGCTTTCACAACTAGGACCAACATCTGAAAAGCAACATAGTCACTGTCCTAGCTATACCACTCCAGTTTTTTTCACATAAGCTAAATTAAATCCTTGATCACAAAAGATGGGAGAGAGGGAAGGAAGGAGGGGGAAGGCAAAGGTGAGGGTGAAAGATACCAGCTGACATAAAGCTAAGATGCGAAGATCAGTATCTGATTATCGCATGCTATCCTATTGGTGATGGAACAAAGCTAGCATTGTGTTTCTGTTTTCTCTCTCAGCTTTACCAGATTTCATAGGCCAGGGGCTTTTAAATAAATCTGTATCCAAATATATCACAGATTTCATTTGCTAAGAAAACCAGAAGCCAAACAAAAGAAAATGAATGATAAGATAAAACTCAGGTAAATTAAGCTTTATCCACTGGAGTTTGAAGATGGATTTAACAAAGTTAGTTACATTTTGTGTAACTGATCTTCATTAAGTACTATTCTTCATCAACATTTTAACAACTCCTTATCTACTTTTGAATGAATGAATGAATGGTCAAATTTTATTTTACATCAAAGTGCCTGGTCCTACCTAAGAAGTATCACACGATGGTTCTGTTACTAGTAAAGTTCCCAATGATTTAAACTGGAAATGTTTTCACCCATGCCAGATAATTTTTTAACTGGGACAAAATGGAATATTACGAGATATCCCTAGTGGTATTTTGTAATAGTTCTGGATCCTGGCTTTCTATGTATTTCACATAGCCTTCAGTGACGTAGCTTCTCTCTTAAATTACTCTAGCTTTCCCACAATTCTATCAGTCATATTTGTATAGGAACTGGCTAGACAGTATAGTGGCAATAAGTGAATTCGCAAGTATTTTTCACAAGAACTTAACATATATAAAGTATTTTTAACATTAATCATTAATGTTAAAAATCACCAATATAATGTTGAAAATCAGCTTTCTATCCTAAATTTGTATAAAAAACCTTTTTGAAATAAAAAGTCTGGAAATTTACTGGATTAAGATTGACAGTTCAGTTCAGAGAATAAGAACAAAATGACATCCCACAGAGTCAAAAAGTGTTTATTAATCATTTTAAATTTCATTCCTCCTCTTAATATATTCTGAGAATATTGAAGCAATCAGCACTATATTATTGTTGTAATGATAGCTTAGGAGGCAATAGAAATCCTCCTTGGGAGATTGAAATCAGACAAGCTGGGGACAGATGACAGAGCACTGCTGGGGCACTTTGTTTAGAAATAACAGGTAAGGTGCCCTCTAATCATAAAGTCATCCCAGTTTTTCATTCCAGAATTCCAGATTTACTTCTGAACTAACTCTATACGGGGCTAAAAACAGAATATATTCACCTCCAGCAGTGAATTAACTGACATGTGAGCACATAACATGTGGCTTTAAATATAGCACTAAATTACCCGTCTTCCATAGAGATAGAATGGACTCTGATTCATAGAGCAGGTAACAAACCTAAGGCTCTCAATCACGGCTGGAGGGATTTACGTGCACTGCAGACATTCACTCTCTTTAGAAGGTCATCACTTCACAGTCTGGGAAATAATCCCTGCCAGCCGATTTGCAAAGTGCCTGAGGCATCGCTCCTGAGAGGCATAACTCCTCTTCTTTCAAGGCTAGAGGTCAGAGCCATGATCACAGCTCAGTCAAATTTAAAGGAAAAAGTATCTGGGGTCAAAAATACCCTAAGGAAAAACAGAAGACTAAAACTAAAAAAATAGAGAGAGAGAAAGAGAGAGAGCGCGAGCTCCTCTGGGCTTTAGCACAGTGATGGAAAGACCTGTTGAAGAATATTAAATTTAGATTCTTTTTCATTTGACAGCTTCAAAATAACTAAAACCGGATACGGAACCTGACGAATGTCATGCCGCAATCAGTTTTGAAGACATTTTTAAATGCTACAAATCCATTTAAAATCTCATCAGCTTAGACAGTCTAAAAAAGCAAAATAAAATCAAGTTTAAGTGACTTAAACATGAAATGTGAGCAGCAGCTCGATGATTAAATTACTGCATCAATTAACTTGAGTACACAGAAAGAAGGCTGCTCTTTCAAGCAATATTAATTCTGCCTCTGATCAGGCAAAACTCCTCCTCACATCATGGTTGTTGCTTCATAAAACACAACTCACATAGCAAAAAGGGAGAGAGACTTTGTAAATAAGAACAAACTGCTGTTTGAGAATTTTTTATAAAATACATAAACTAAATTGATGTTTTTCTGAAAAATACAGTCATTTCTGTATACTTTTAAGAGTGAAAAACTCTGCAAATTGTTTTTGAAAATCGTAAGACAGATGAAATTACCATTAAGCTCAACAAGAGTGACTTGGGTCCCATAAAAATCATAAATGAGTGCATTTAAAGATTAAAGGCATTTCTGGAGGTACACACTGCACAGGGTAAAGTGCTTTATTTTGGTCATCTCTGCCAACTTCTATTACATGCTGTCATTTTCAGTAAGAAGAAACGTATTTGCAAAAGCAGAGTGAGTACAACAGGCCTTAAATCAGACGACTGGGGACCGCTGACAGAGTGCTGTCTGCGCTCTGCCTGCCGAGGCCTTTGAGTATCAGGATTTTACGGTGTGTTTTTCTGACATGTCTGACACTTAGTGGACTCTAATACCTCTTTAAAATCTGGACTACTAACAGACGGTTATCTGTAAGTTTGCAACTGCTCTTTTAAGGGTCCAGGTTCTACCCAGGCAAGGAGGAAAGGAAGAATCCCTGACAAACGGATTGTGCATTTTCATTGTCCCCAGCCCTTCAAAACTCAGTTCACAGCTCACCTCCTGTTTTCTGTATTACTCAGAATAGGCTTGTTATGGTAAGGTAGCAACTTAACTCTGAAATCTCAGGGGCTCACACCACAAAGATTTATTTCTTGCTTATACCAAGTCCACAGCAAGTCTGGCAGCTCTCCATGGGGCCCTCTCCCTAGGGTGAACGCCAGTGCTATAGCCCTGTGACTTGATCATCTTAATGTGCCATACCCAGACTGCCATAACAGGGTAATAAAGATCAGGAGGGCAATGTACTGTCTTGTAAGGGGCACCACTTCTATCCACAGTGCATTGGCTGGAACTAATCATAAGGCCATGTCTAGCTGTAAGGAGCCTGGGCCATATCCTCTTCCCAGACTGTCTGGAAGGAGAGAAGAATAAGACTTGGGTAAGGTCTTATTTAGGTCTCCATTGTAGCTTTTCTAACCCAGCCCTGTACATGTATATTAGGTGCCCATAATGTGCTCTCCAATTTGTCTTCACCCTATCATAGAACACATGATAGTTTATCATGTGTTTTACTTCATTAGGTAATGAACTCCTTGAAGGGAACAATCAGGTATTATTTTCCTGACTAAATTCCATAAACACACAAATGAACATAACCATAGAAACTCAGATGTATGCCAGTTTAATATTATTTGAGAAGTTCTAATTACCAAGGTATGGTAGCAACATCAAAAATATATTTGACTTAACGTGAAAGCAACCATTTATACAACATCAAGAAGTATTAACTGAAAGTTTCTTACCTGCCAATCAAAATTCCAGGTCTTAGGAAAACAGTAGTAAATGAGATAAATGAGGACCTTTTCATGTAGTAGTTTACATTCTAACAGAAACAAACAATAAATACACAAGAGAAACCAAGGATAGCAAAAACAAGAATACCAGAAAAAATTAGAAAATAAAGGTAGGAGAGCTACTGTAAACTGAGTGATCAGGGCAGCCCTCTACCCAGGTTACATCTGAGCAACCCATGAATGGCAAGAAGGAGCCTACAATTAGAAAAATCTAAGAAAGGAGTATTTTTAAAAGAGGAAACAGCTAGCCTCAAGTCCAGAGCAAATTTGGTATATTCAAGGATATAGAATTTCTGTATAATGTATGTAAATTAGATTCCTATCTGTAGTTATACGTGATATTATTTTATATCAAGGACCTTATGGAGAGCTCAAGATGCCCTCACTTTTACCGGATTCACCTCTAAATTGTGCAGAGTTAAAAGACAGTTCCCAGCGTATCTCATCATTTTCAACCACCGACTTTTATTAAGTGCCTTACATGTGAAAGAAAAGCATTTATTACTGCAGAAAATCTTTTTAAAAAACTCAGACTCTCTTCACTTAAAAAATTATAATTTATTAGAGAAACTAGGCAAAAATATATAAAGTATTAATACAAAAGTTTAAAAGCAATGTGTGGCAAGACTAAGACAGATCTCCAGGCAATATAAGATTAGTCACCAAGTAAAATTGTGAATGTAAAAGTTTATTTATATGTTGTCCATAAAATAAACTTTATATCTAGTTGAAAAGAAAGTGACAGGACAGATTTTCACTAAATTTGCAGGATACGATCGGCATATTCCTGTCTTAAGAAATAGTCTAGGTCTTCAAATATTTTCAAATGTTTGTAGTGATAATAGCTGAAAACTTCCCTAATGTGAGAAAGGAAACAGTCACCCAAGTGTAGGAAGCACAGAGAGCCTCATACAGGATGAAACCTAAGAGGAACACAGCAAGACACACTGTAATTAAAATGACAAAAATTAAAGATAAGAGATAAAATTAAAAGCAACACGGGAAAAGCAGCAAATAACATACAAAGGGACTTCCATAAGAATATCAGCTTGTTGCTCAGCAGAAACTCTACAGGCCAGAAAGCAGTGGCACGATATATTTAAAGTGATGAAAGGGAACATACTACAACCAAGACTACTCCACACACTAAGGCGCTTTTTCAGATTTGATGGATTAATCAAAAGCTTTACAGATAAGCAAAAGCTAAAAGAATTCAACACCACCAAACCAGCTTTACGACAAATGATAAGGGAACTTCTCTAGGCAGAGGAGAAAAGGCCACAACTACAAACAAGAAAATTACAAAGTGGAAAAGCTTACTGGTAAAGGCAAACACATAGTAACAGTAGGAAATTATTCACACACAAACTAGGAAGGTTAGAAAGGTTAAAAGACAAAGATAGTAAAGTCATCTGTATCCACAATAAGCAGTTAAGGGCTACCCAAAACAATTAAACGTAAAATATGATATAAAAAACAGTAATCACGGGGGGAGTAACCTACAAATGCAGGGTATTTGAAATTAAGAGATCAGCAACTTAAAGCAATCATGTAGATACAAAAAGAAGAAAATCACGAGAAGAGAACAAGAGAGAAAAAGAAAAAAAAAAAGATCTACAAAACCAAATCCAAAACAATTAACAAAACAGCAAGGAGAACATACATATCAATCATTACCTTAAATGTAAATGGATTAAATGCTCCAACCAAAGGACACAGACTGGCTGAATGGATACAAAAACAGAACCCTAATGTACGCTGCCTACAAGAGACTCACTTCAGATCTGGAGACACATACAGATGGAAAGAGAGAGGACGTAAAGAAGTATTCCATGCAAATGGAAATCAAAAGGAAGCTGGAGTAGCAATACTTCCATCAGATAAAATGTCTTTAAAATTAAGACTGCTAAAAGAGACCAAAAAGGACACTACGTAATGAACAAGGGATCAATCCAAGGAAAAGATATAACAATTTTAAGTATATGTGCACTCAGCATAATTAAACATATAAGCTTTTGCACAGCAAAGGAAACCATAAACAAAACAAAAAGACAATCTATGGAATGGGAGACAATATTTGCAAAAGATGAGACTGTCAAGGCTTAATTTCCAGAACATATAAACAGATCATACAACTTAATCAGATAAAAAAAAAAAACCTAATCCAAAAGCAGGCAGAAGACCTAAACAGGCAATTCTCCAATGAAGACATATAAATGGGCAATAGGCACATGAAAAAAAATGCTCAATATCGCTAAATATCAGAGAAATGCAAATCAAAAGTACAATGAGGTTATCACCTCACACCAGTCAAAATGGCCATCATTCAAAAGTCCACAAATGATAAATGCTGGAGAGGGTGTGGAGAAAAGGGAACCCTCCTACCCTCTTGGTGGGAATGTAGTTTGGTGTAGCCATTATTGAAAACAGTATGCAGATTCCTCAAAAGATTAAAAATAGACTTATCATATGATCCAGCAATCCCACTCCTAGGCATATATCTGGGGGAAACCCTAAATCAAAAAGATACATGCACCCCAATGTTCATAGCAGCACTGTTTACAATAGCCAAGACATGGAAGCATTCACAGATGAATGGATAAAGAAAATGTGGCATGTGTGTATGTGTGTGTGTATATTATCATTATATACATATATGTATATATATTATTTTAAGTGAAGTCAGACAAAGACAGATATCATGATATCACTTATATGTGGAATCTAAAAATAATGAAAGAAATGAACTTATTTACAAACCGTAAATAGACCCACAGACATAGAAAACAAACTATGGTTACCAAAGGGCAAAGGGGTGGAGGGGAGGGGTAAATTAGGAGTTTGGGGTTAAGATATATACTATATCTTAGTATTAAGATATATACTATATACTATTAAGCTATACATAAAGCAGATAAACAACAAGGACCTACCATATAGCACAGGGAACCATATTCAACAGCCTGTTTAAAAAAACTACCTATGTATCCAAAAAAGGTAGAGAGTAATTCTCCAGACCAACTAAAACTGAAAAGCATTCATGAGGTCTTAGAGGTCTGCTAATAGTAAGGAACACACCATTTTCTTAAGTGATGCTATGGATAACCAGAGAAAAAGCAGTGGTTTCAAATTACAACTCCAAATTATTTGACTCAAAGGCAATCAATCCAAATTCCATGCACTGATTTTCATTAACACTGATTCTAATATACATGAGAAAAAGTAGTATGATCCATAATGAGTGGTGATAGTGATTTATTTATTTAGTGATGGTTAAAGATTCTCTCAAGTTATGCAGAGGAAACTAACTACTATATAACAGAGGTTATAAATTGAAAGGAGGAAAAATCCTTGTCTTAGTTTTGCCCAGAAGCAAATCCTTAGACAAGGATTCACACGCAATTGGTTATCTGAGAAGGAACAATGGTAGGGGAAGAAGGAAGTGAGAAAGGGAAAGGAAGGCAGGCAATAAAGGGTTGGTCATTAATCAAGTGTCCACTGTAGATAAAAAGAACCTAATCCCACTGGAGGAATCTGGCAGCCAGTCTAGAACAGAGTAGTCAGTGCAGTGAAAGAGTGAGAAAGGCTGAAGTACTTATATGCTTGCTCATCTCAGTCATTATCTGAGGGCTGCTCCCAGGCAGTATTAATTATCTGGCACTGCTGATCTGCTGAGCAGCAGGACAAAGTGGGCTCTGATGACAAGAAAAAGCCCTCAGGCAAAGAAATACAGTTGTTAGCAAGGGCCAGCATACACTGAAGTGTCAAGAGCAAGGTGATGCTGGTGGTAAACTGATAATCATATGCACAGGAACGATCTAGAAGAACCAAGAGAAGATGGATTTGAGCTAGGCTTTGAGAAATGGATTGGATTTGGTTAAGGAAAAATATTTAAGCTAAGAAAAGTGCTATGAGCAAAAGTACTGAGGTAATAAAGAAGGCCAGTTATAAGCCAGTTTGGCAGGATCAGAGAGACAGTTTGTATAGAATATTGTTGGGAAATTATGGCTAAAAATATACGCTGGGTCCATAAAAAGGAAGGTATCAAATGCTAGGCTAAAAAATTTTAATTTTCTCTACTAGCTACTGAGTAACCTTTACATTTCTAAATGGGAAATTACTAAAATGAAAACATTATGGCATTAATATCTAATTTGGTACCATTATTGTCCTAGGAACATAAACTCCTATTAGATACGATCTGGATCTGTTCAACTTCCCTTAAAGAGGATTACATGCAGAGAAATATTCAGTACCCTGTTAGCAAATGAGCACTCCACCAAGTACAAAGGCTGTGATATCTAAATACCATTTCTTACTAAAAGGAGCCAATGCTCCTTGGAAAAAGGGCTGACTACAGATCTGTGCAAAATATTTACGAGATGAGTCTAAAACATTTTGCTATGCCCAAAAGGAAGTAAACTATCAAACACTACAGTAGCCTGGTCAAAAGAACTCCAGGATCCTACCTGAGGGAGCTCCCACTGGCCAAAGAAGAAACAACTTGAGCATTAAAATAATAAATATTATAGAAATATATTAAACATTTTAACACCCATGAGTTGGAAAATATACTTAAAAACTGGAAGGACACAAGGGAACTAACTCATTCTGAAATGTAGAAAATAAAGGAGAAAATCATACTTTTATCCTACTCTTCCCATTAAAAACTGTACAAATACTAATGAGGTAAAGTTCTTTATTATAAAAGAATTTCTGTTAGTAAACCTAGAGTGAATGATCAAACTAGAATTCTGCAACTCCTAGTAAAATAACAGACATAGAGAGTAATCATCTCTATGCTAGAACTATTAGCTGAGGAGGTAGCAGGAAAATTTATGTTGTTTATCATAAACTTTATCAGGTTGACAACATCTAAACCCAATAACCAAATATAACAGGACAGAAAGATAACCCAGTGTATGCCTCTCGGTGTAATACAACAAGAAGTAAATAATAGCACCTATGAAGTCTTTTCGGGGGGATCCCCTCAATATGAATAATTCTATAGATTTAACTACCAGTTTACACACACACACACACACACACACACAAACCAGGGAAAAGGACATCACAGGTGTCCATGCAATTTGCAAAATTCAGAATGTGCAGAATTCTACAGAGCAGGTGATCATTCTTTAACCAATAAACTGTAATAAAAAGTTAAAGAGCAACCTATAGATTGAAAATTTTCAAATGTAATGTGGAGACTGTTTAGGTCTTAATTTGAGAATACTGACTGTAAAACACAGAATGAAATTTTCTGCAATTAGATATTCACTGTCTCTTTTATGACATTACAATATTGTTAAAAGTTTAGGTGTACAAATCATACTGCAGTTCAGTTCTTTTTAAAAGCCATTTATATTTTAGAGATATACCCATAATTCCAAAATGCTTATTCTTAGATACCTGTCAACAAAATAATATGGTGCCTGGAATTTACTTTAAAAGAATCCAAAGGACTAAGAGAAAGATTATATATTAATCATTGGTTACACTATTTATTAATAAAGGTGCATTCCTTAACTAATGTACTTATTTTAAGATATGTTTGAATACAAAGATTGGGTATTCCAGGTGAGTTAACTAAATTTAGTATTTCTGATCTTCTGTCTCGTTATTGAAATTATTAAAGACTGAAGACAACTACTCACAGAAAGATACACAGAACAAAGTTAGAAAAAGTAGTTACAAAAGTGCAATCTCAGTGAGTTTGTAATAATTTCACTGAGAAAATAAGGAACTTCCAATGCCTAAAATCCGGGCAGGAAGCAATGGATGGTCAACCTTGAGATTCCTTAACTGTTACTTAATGCCAAGGAGGCAACTGAGTAAAGAAAAAAATTCCTGCTCTGGGAGTTAGAAAATTACCAAGGCTCAGCTTTGTAATTTCAGACTCACATAACTTCTGTAGGTTTTGGAGCGTGAAAGTGCGGGAAATTAAATCAACAACAACAACAATAATTGCATTGTATGTACAAGATGTAGACTTCGCACTGTACAGAGGGCTTTTCATACATTCCCCTATTTACACGTCACAACAATCCAAGGGGGTGTTGTGGCGGATTGACTCATACGTTTCAAAGGACTACTGAACGAGGCCGGCATCAGTACATGGTACCATTTCCCATATGAGGAGACTGAGGTTCAGAAGCCAACAACTTGTTTCAGGTCATATACTGGAATGACTTAGCCCAGCCAACATTCCAGGTTTATTTAATATGAAACGATGCTTTGAACACTCCAATGCATTGGACTATATCCTTAAGATGCTCGTGGAGACTGGGTGTGAAATTCTGGAAAACTTAAAGACCGTTTCCACAGACCTAGAGTTTTTCTTCGCTCTACACATCTCGGTCCCACACGGAAAAAAAAAAAGACAAAAATAATAGAACAACTCTTCACTCACCGCCAGGAAGCCGATACTCGCAGCTAGGACCTTCTGCCCTGGCTCCCCAACGCCTCCACCCGCAAGCCCTCAGCCTTCTCGAATCTCACATTGTGACGTTTAAACTACATCTCCCATAAAGCCGTGCGAGGACACCGAGCCCTCGCCGGAAGACCGAAAGGCTCCATCCGGCACCCAGAAGAGTGACTGCGGGGTTTTCCCGGTCCTTCGACCACGTCCTGGTTTCCTCTGCTCTGCTCGTCTTTGGGTTAGTAGCAGCAGCGGCGAGTCAGTCGGCCCCAGTGCGCTCTCCGGGGCTGGTAACGAGCTCTCCGCGCTCTCGGCTCTCCGCGCCGTCTCGGCTGGCCCTGCCGGGCGGTGCGGCGCAGCCTCGCTCCGGGGTGCAGGTGCAGGAGCGGGAGCCTTGGCCTTGCAGTCCGGGCTCCCGGGATGGGACAGGGGCCGCAGCCGGGCCTGCCCATGGTAGTGTTTCCAGCCCAGTCTTTGAGGTGGGGAAGAAGTGCTGCTTCGGATCTGGTTTCACGTTTAAGAAGAGAACTCTCACAGTAGTGGCAAGAAAATAAACTCTCAAGGCATTTGTTCGGAGAGGTTGGAGAGACCATGCATGGGTAGCGCTTGAATCGGCTA